AATTTACAAAACTTCTTTTCATGAAAACACTCTTTTTTTTTTTCCCAAGTGAAAAGATAAATTTTTTTTATATGCTGCAATATGTACATAAACTAGAATAGAAACTTTATGTTTTAAGAATGTCTTGAAGCAATCATAGCAATGATTGGACCAGAACACAGAGACACGCTTTGACTGAAAGCGAATGTGCATGCCCAGGTTGACACTTGAGATGGTAACGTTGTCATTGCAATTCCAATACTCAGTTAGGAAATGATGAATAACTTTAATACCAGTGAAATATAGAAAAAAATAACTTAAAACAATGGATCTAGTCATGGAAATTTACAATTCTGTAACAGATTTTGGCTATTAAGACACAGTAAGCTATTGTCCGCACCGATTAGAGTCCTTTTGACTAATGAGTGTTTTGATTATTTCTGAGACAACGCCACTTTTCAGTTTTGTATGTGTGGTTTCCAGAGGCTTCTTTTCAAAATATTGACTACTTGTTATTCATGAGCTTGGCTTAGATTTGTGACAGCAACAAAAAAATTTTAAAAGTACCAGAAGCAGTAGTGTATGTTGACAGTAGAATTATTGATAAGTTACTAAGTGCCAGGTGTTCCACCATAGCCACATGTTTTTATGCCACTTAATCCTTATGACAATGTCTTAAGTTCTAGTATTGCCCCATTGTGCAGATGAGGACACTCATGTTCACAGAAGTTTTGCTATTATGTGGCAGGCCTGTTATCTGAACAAAGGTCTGAGTCCAAATTCTGTGATGTCTAAAGTTCTTCTGTAGTACTTGCCAATAAATTATTCTGAGAAATATACATTGCTCATTTCTGCAGAGGAAATACCATGGTAATTTTTTAAAGTGATTATTGCTAGGTAATTCTTCCTCCTTCTTTAATTAGCAAAGAAGAATGGCTCAGGAGATGGAATTTACTTTAGGGCAACTATTATATATACTTATTTGTTTTACCAGTTCTTGGCTTGTGAATCTACAGTAGTTATTTAACACATCCTTGGTAACAGTAACTGTGCTAATAACTGATAATACAACTCTCTTCTAAGCTGTTTTCTATACTCTTATATTTTACAGATAACACCTACAAATTGAATGTTCTTTGATGGTCAGACAGCCATGAAATTTTACTTGTAGTAATCTTTCTTTATCTAGTAGATCTTTTGTGTGTGCATTTGTCTAATAACTGTCCTATTTGTTTAATGATCTCAATGCATCAAAATGACTCTACTATGTAATCAATAATCGTCCCTAGTAATATTTCCCTTCATACATTTATTTTTCTATCAAAAGATTATTCTGTTATTTAGATAATTCCCAAGAACAATGAGCACTCTGTGTATGTCTTGGTACAGTTCATCCGAATCGATATTTATTGATCACCTACATGTGCTCCTCACAGGCTAAAAGAGGAAAAACACAATGATTCATTTGGCCTTCCCAAGCTTATAATCAAGTAGTGATGCATATCTGTGGACAAGACAATTTATAGAAGGGTAAATATAGGATTTGATAGAGGAAATGGGAATGGAGGTTAAGGAGTAACCGAACAGAGTTTCCGTGGTATAGCTTCCATGCAAGTAGAGAAAGATGTTGACTGAGTTGGCTGATTTTTCAAGAACTAGAGTAGTAAGTAATGGGTTAATTATGTGTTGCTATTCATTAACAATAGTTAAAAAAGGAGGGCTTTATCTGGTGAGTAGAGGAGTACATCAATGGAGTAGAAGGTGTTAAGGATCAAATAGAGAGCACTACAGAAGCAGGATTTGAATGGAAGAGCCAGTAAAAAACTAACCAATCAATAAGATTGCAACACAAGGTGGTGGAACAGAGTATTTCCAGAATACCTTGTTCCAAGAATTTGTTAAGGTTAATAACAAGTTAATCATAGGGGAGCCTCGACTTGTAGAATTTACATGCTGTAGATACTGGATTCATAAGATTAAAAATGCAAGAAGTATTTCACACCTTAGAATTGAGTTAGCTCAGCAATTAGCTCAGTGTTGTTGGTCTTATCCTGGAGCTCCACCTCCCTAGCCAAACATCAACTCATGAGACTGACAAGGCCATGTCATAGCCTAACTAGTCACAGAGCCAGTTTTGTAATTATTTCAAATAATATCTGTATTTGATATAAATTTAATATTATGCATACATGTTTACATTTTACTTTATATAATGCAACAAGAGAATGTAGTCCTTCCTTGTTACTGGTAGAAAATTTTCTCTTTAAAGGAATTTGCTATCTGGCACCCTCACATGCCATCACAGGCCTGTGAGACAGGGATGCTATATAGAGTAGCTCAGGGCACCTGTCTTCACCGTACATTGCAGCTCCTTGGCTGTGATTGTCATAGTAAGCTCCACATAAGCTCACTGAGTCTCAGTTTTTCTCATTTGTAAAATGAAGGAGTTGTGTACCTAAGTTGAAGTTTCTTGGTATTCATGCTTTTCCTTCTGCTATCACTAAGTAGGATATGTTATTTTTCAAGACTAACATTTACGACCTTGCTTCTAATTCTGTTCCATTTCCTGATTCTTTATTACATAGTCTCTTTTATTAAGTTTATTTAGAGAAAGAGTGGAAGGGGAGAGAGAGAGACGGAGAAGGAGATGAAGAGAAGGGGGAGAGGGGAGGAGATGGGAAGAGGAGAAGGGAGAGGGAGGGGGAAAGAGAGGAGAAGAGAGAGAAAGAAAGGTTTCCTGAACAGGGTCTCACCATACTGCCATGCCTTTACTTCCAGTCCTGGAGCTAGTCAGGATTTGGATGCATGTTCTTCTAGTGTGCTTCAAGCCAACTCTGGATCTGAACTGTGATCAACTATGTGGCTTCCTGAGCCACAGATCTGTATGTTACCTCCTGTACCATTGCAGTCAGGTTTCTCTCTTCTTTTTCAACAAAACCTCATCTCTGTTCTTATGGTTCCCTCTCCTGAGTATAAAACAAAACTGATGTCTCACTCTTACTATAAAAGAATGATCTGCTTCTGGTCATATGATGTTTGTTCTTTTCTCCTTTCCATTGTCATACTTAAAAGAATAATTTAAATTTGTTAACTTCCTCTTTATACTACATACTCACTCTTTAACCCTTGTTAATCTGAATTCTGCTCTGCCCTCCCCTGTTCCACTGACCCTTCTTTCTTGAAGGACACTGATGAGAACCAAATACCTGTGCTCAGCCATCATCCTACCTGAAGATTTAATGCTAAGCCAAGTAAGCCAGACTATCAAAGGCAGCTCTGTATACCCTTACACAATATATATGAACTGTCTATACTCTGTGATAGAAATGGAAAGATCTGAAGATAGAATAGTAGGGAGGGCTGGGGTAGATATGAGAAACTGTAAGGAAGAGGGGTAGATGATAGGGGATGGGTGGGAGAAACTCAGGAAAAAAATCACTTATCAGATGCAAGGTTATAAAATTCTTTGTTGAGAATGATGTTTATGGTAATATTGTTGATTTGATTGTTGTGTTCTGCATGCATACCTTGAAAAACATTGTGTACTTTAGAGATGAACAATGAGTGAATGTAAACAGCAAGTCATAAAACTAAAAATTTTAAAAATAAGAAAAGGTTCATAAAATACCTAGATCGTTTAATGATAATTATACTTTTTTACACAAAAGTTTATTTTCTCCATTCTATTCCAATGTATTCTATCAAAAGGAAATCCTTGGAGTTCTTTTCAAGTTCTTTATGTTTCTCCTACGTATAATTTCCATATAATTCCTACTGTAAGGGAAATCGTTTGAAGAAAAATGTTACTGAATTTCAAATACATTTTAAAACATTTTCTGAATTTAAAGGATATATTGGCCAAAATTCCATGATTAGGAAAATTAGATTAGAAGATTGGGAAAAATCTTTACTTAAACATTTTACTCAAAATGTGCAATGATCTCAATCTATCATTACAAATGGATTAAGCCATTCAGAGAGTTAAGAGAAAAGTTATATAAAAGAGAACATTTGGTTGATACAAAGCATAAGAAAACAATGACCAAGGGCACACACCATATGGATTACTTCAACTGGATCAAGTAATTTAATGGCAATGGTGGAAACCAATTTTCTCAAACCAACAAGATTCAAGCCATAAATATTTGGTCTAAATAATAAAATAAAGAAGCAAATTTTACAGAGAGGACTAAGATTTAGAATCTCTTTCCTTGGGAAATTCATGAGTGAGGATAGAAGCCTGACATTCAAAAAGGTATCAGAGTAATTTCCAGTCTTGAGTTAAGTTACACAAGGATAAATCTCAGGCACTGTGAATTTCATAAGCCCCATATTCACAAACCCAATGTCTTTCAAAGGTTCCTTTCATTTTCTTTCTTCCTTTTTTCTAATTTCCGAAAGATACTGTGCTCACCAGAAGGCCAGTGAAACACAGAGAGGTAGAGGGAGAATGTATTCCTTCAATGGGACATGGTCACACCAAAATCTTGTGTACATTTTTCCATTGGAATCTTGGGCACATACACACATATACTCGGCATGTTTTTCCAAGTCACCATAGCTGTAATTTAAACTGACATTGGTCATATGAAATCCAGCTAGGGGCCAACCTCAAAAGTTCCTTTCTAAGTTGGTTGTTGAAATATACATGATAGATGTGTATTCATAAAAAAAATATGTAAACATGGCGGTCACTGTAATGTTGAATCTAAATTTCTATATTGGTATTCTTTATGGATCTCATTCTTTCTAGAATTGAGGTTGATATTTTTTGAGTCTTGGATTTCTTAAAGAAAACTATGCATACAGAATATTTCACAAATAATTTCAGTAAGTTCATGAAGTCTGCAGTTTTACTTTTATACTGTAGCTTCCCTGCTTCTGAATCCATTTGTGTGTGTGTGTGAAGAGGAAAGGGGGAAAAGGAATATGAACACAGAATCTTTGTCCTTGAATTCTCTGAATCAGGTAAGAATAATATTTACAATATGTTAAATCACCAATCTAATAATTTTACTTACGTATTAAAATGCTCAGTGAAGATCAAGTTTGTGGAGGTACCAGTGATAGTTGTCAGTCCACCAATGGTGGAAGAATAAGCAATGCACAAACACATTAGCTTGCATAGCATGTGGTCCTTCTTTGTTCGATATTTTGTTCCCGTGCTTGAGTTCTGTTCAATAAGAAAATATACTATGAGAATGGAGTTATGTTTTTATCATAACAAGTTGTTATAACCTTTTTATGAATTGTATGTTTGAGTCCCCCATACAATTCATATGTTGAAGCTTTAACTGCTGATGTGATCATATTTGGAGATGAAGCTTTTGGGAAGTAATTAGAGTTCAAGAAGATCATGAGAATGGGTCTCCAGTCTAATGAAATTAATGCCCTTTTATAATAGGAGGCACCAGAGAGCTTGACTTCCTCTCTCTGTCATGTAAGAACCCAGTGAGAAAGCTGCTGACTGCACCTTCAGAAAAGAGCTCTCACTAGACACCAACACTGCAAGATGTTGTTCTCAAATTTCTAGTCTCGGGACCAGCAGTTAGCGTAATGGCTATGTCACTGGACTTCCACGTAGTTGACCGTGCTTTGTGTCCCGAACTCGGTGACTTAAAACTCATGCCGGGCGCGTGTGTGTGCGCGTGTCCAAGATCCTGAGAGGAGAACGGAGGAGAAGGGATTGCGGCATGGCCATCCCCCCTGGGGGGTGATTTCTCACTTTCTGTCTCTCTCTCTCTCTCTGTCTGTCTGGCAAGCGCATGTGTCCTATAGCAATAACCTCTCAAAAATTTTTTTTCTAGTCTCTAGATTATAAGAAATAAATTTCTTGTTTAAGTTTTCCAGTCTATGGTATTATGTTATGGGATCCTGAACTGATTAATACAGCATATATCTTTTCATCAATAGACCTTTAATAAAAATACTTAAACATAATTTTATTATTAGTCTCCTCATTCCTCTTTTTTATCCCTGATCCAATTCATCCTTCAATTCTTTCCTTTTCACTGCTGTTTTCAAAGCTTTTTGTTTGTTTGTTTGATAATACTAGTGGTACATTGTTATATATTCCTCAGCCTCTTTCTGGAGATGATAGCACTACTGAAATTTAAAGTTTACAACCCCAAGAATCTCAGCATTGAGAGACAGAGTCAGTGCCCCCCCTGGCTCCCCACTATTTCTTACAGAACATTCCTTCTCTAGTCACACAATTATAATTTTTTTTCTTTAAAGATGATATAATTTGAGCATATCTTTCTTTCCTCATTCTTTTAACCATGACATTCTGCTCTAGCCACACATTACTGTCATGTAAAAGTTGTGGTGAGAAGCATGTTCATGTTAAGTAAATTCATTTCACAAGCTGTAGTGATGTACAGTGACTAAATGTAGAAAATAAATTAAAAATGAATAAAATAAATAAATAAGATATATTTGCACCTGACACATAATTACTTTTTATCTCTCAATCATGTCAGCAACTGGATGACTATACCATGTTCATGGATAACATTTCAAATACCTCACACATTTTTTGCCATTTTCAACTGCTAATTCTGTTTCATCTCAGTTATCCACTCCCTCCATCTCCTAGAATCTCATATGGTGGAAATCACTATTCCAAATACATATATGTGTTTTTCATAAGAGTAGGTCTTCTTATGGCATAAGTCAGAAGAAGTTTTATTCTTTTTCTCACCCATAGATCATAAAAGCACACTCTGTTGGTTTGACTCTTTCTGTCCCTATGGTGGGGACAGAACCAATTACCATGGGTTAGAACCAATTGCATTTCTGGTCACTTCATTTAATAAATAGTCTTTCAGTCAGATTTAGTAAAAAAGCAGCCTCATTTCAGAGGTTGAAATAAATGTGCTTTATTACATAACAAATATCTCAACTTTATATAAATTTAAACTTTCTCTTCTCTAGGTCAGGCTTACTTAAAACTCCTTAATTAAAAAGATGGTTTATTTATTTATTTCTTCTATTAATGAAAAAGATAGACAGAAGCACTCCCAGCAGGGTTTTCATCCAACAATTCACCCCTCGCTTCAGTCAGTCCCAAATCATTAGCATATGTACACCTAATGTATGCAGAGGGGTATCAGGACAAAACCTAGAACCTTCCCATACAGGTTAGCCTCACAGAGTATTGCATTATCACTGCTCCATCATTTGACTCCTAAAGCAGATATTTTTTTTAACTTTTCTCTCAATTATAACACTCACCTACCACATCTCCATTTTCATAGCCAAACTGCTCAAAAGAGTGATCTATATCTGCTGACTCCATTTCTTTGATCACTTCAACCTATTTTTGTCCTCATTCCAAACAAAATGTACTTCCCAAGATTATTAATAATGTCCACAGTACCTAAATCAAATAGGTACTTCTCATTCTCAATTTTGTAGACTCCTAGCACCTAAAAGAATGAATCACTCCTTCCTACTAGAAAAACTCTGCCTTGGGCTTCTATGATCTCTCTCTTCTGATTTTTGTTCTATATCTTTGTTCTGTTTCCCTTAACAGTAGTCCCTTTTCCATTATCCTTCTCTACCACTGAAATGTCTTGAAACTCTATCATAGGCCTTTGTCTCTTTCAATCCAATAATTCTCCTTATAAACTTATGTTTTGGGGCTAACTCCATAGGCTAGTAGTTAAGGAACCTGATTTCACATCACTAACTGTAGTTGGAAGCTCAGCCCCAAAGGCTTGAAAAACTTATGAGGCATGCAAATGTGCATGGCCCAAATCCTGACAGGATGGAGAAATGGAAGTGAAAGGATTGTGGAGTGACCACACCCTTGGGAGATGCTTTCACCTTCTCTCTATGTCTTCCTGGCAAATGTACACACCGTTTGACAATTAAAAAAAAAAAATCTCATGTTTTAATTGAATTAACGAGTAGCAATATACTGACTACAAAACTTCTAACTACAGCACACACTCCCCTTTCTAGATACATATATCTAATTATTTATTCAACATAATTTAAAAGTATTTGTACAACTTTAATCCAAAAATGATTAAAACAAAACTTAATTACTTCCTTTCTCAAACCTAGTTCTTCAGGATTACCTGTATAAGCTAATGGCATCAACATCGCCATAATAGTGAACAGTTAAAGTGTACTTGGTATGTAACAACATTGGTCTAAGTTAAAATCAGATAAATGTTTTCATTCATTAAATTATTACAACACAATGAGGTGAGTACTACTATACTATTTTATAGATGAAGACATGAAACATAGAAAGGTTAAGAGAATTTCCCAGGATCACAGAGCCTGAAATAACTGATATGGATTTTCAAACCAAGCAATCTTACTTTGAAGCTCATACTCAGCCACTAGGCTATAATGCTTTTCTTCATTGAAAATATTCTTTTCTTCATCCCATCAAAGTCTGTCAATTTTATCTACCTAAATGTGCCTGGATTCTTTGGTTTGCTTTATCTCCACTGTTGTCATCTTGATCTAAGTCAACATTATTTCTGGCCTGAATTACTGTAATAAGTCTTATGGAGCTTGCATAAATTCCTGCTTATTTCATATTTGTCCTACACACAGAAGCCTTTAAAAAGAAATCCAAATATATTTAAAAACATAGACAAACAATTGTTCTCTTTGTCTGAAAGGTACAACAAGGAGATAATAACAGTAACCCAAACCATATTTTCTTTATCTATTTATCCAGAGATGACCACTTAAGTAGTATCCATATTGTGGCTATTTTGAACCATGCTCCAATGAACATGGAGTGGGGGGGGGGTGTTGCAGATATCTCTTGACATACTGATTTTATTTTTTCTGGATATACAGCCAGAAATGATATTACTGGATCATATAGTAGTTATCTTTTTAATTCTTTGAGATTCTACAATGTTTTTCATAGTGACTGTACCAATCTATATCCCATCAACAACGTACCAGAGTTTCCTTTTCTCCCTGAAGAATATAAGATTCTCTCTGTTCCAGATAAGCATATTGCCTGAGACACTGCCATCAATCTTTCTGAGAAATCATGATAAGGAAAAAATGACTACTCATTCAAAGTCATCAAGATGTAGGAATGGCATTTAGTATAGCAAGGTCAGGTGCATTGGATTGTAATTACCTTTTACTTTCTAATTAACTTAAAGGTCAGCCCCCAAGAGGAATCTACTCTTCACCCAAAATAAATTGATTCACAAATGTCCCCTTTTGCCTTGTATTTTCTACATAAAAATGATTTGCATTTTCCACATGATAAAAATTTCCATTGGAAACAAAAAATGTTATGTAAATAAAATAGCAAAATAAGTTTGAAAATTCTTATGAGTAATGTAAAGTGACAACTGAAATTTTAGGCTTAAGTATTAAATATTTTACTGTAAGAAGGACTTCAAACACAAACCAAAAGCAATGAATAATTTGTGTATTATTAAATTGATAATATTAATGGAATCTTAAAAATGCAATGTGCATGTAATTTCTCATTGTTATATTAAAATATGAAAAATACAGAACAAATTGGATTTTACATAAATTTTACCTGAAAATATATGCACATATGTAAAGTAATTATTAAAATGCATTGACAAATACAAAATTAAAAGAAAACACAAATTATTATGTTTTCCATGCTTTATCCTTTATGGATTTACCACACTTTTTTTTCTATAAGAAGAACTTTAAAACATACATTAATGCTATTGTACATAAGTTGATATTTATGTGAATATCATGGATGATTTAAAAGGCATTAAAATTCACGATAAAGTCATATTCTACAGTGAATGCTAATGCAAATATTAGTATTTGCTCATCAAACAAATGACCGTTAAGTGGAGGTGTTTCTGAGGTGGGTTGGGGGGATGCACAATTCGTGTTATCTAGTCAGTAAACATTAGCCTGTGCATTCTGATTTAGCTATTTTTGCTGAGTGCATGTGAGCATAAGTGACCACTGGACTGAACTGTGGAATAAATAATACCAAAAGGGGGTAGTGACTGAAGATCTGAGGGACCGTAACAGAGGACATTGAGCAGAAAAACTGAGCTCATAGTGACTGAGTCGCTAACTGAGCCAATTAGTAGCACAGAAATTATTTTTTAAAAGGGAAGATAGCACAGCAGATGAATCCGTAGTCTCTTGCCCAGTTTCAACCTGAAATGAAGGGTTTAA